CACACAAGTACGTGGCCTTTGAGACACACTTGATATCTATATCCACACCATCACATCTGCCTGGTTGATGGAAAGTCCATAACACTCAGAGATGTAAAGTGTGGAACCATATGTTCAGAGAAATTCCTCCTGTCAGTGACAGCTTGGTTCTGTCCTGTTTAGTAATAAAAATGCTACAAACTTTAAAATTAAAGAAAAAATGCAGGGGTACATGAGGATTACATAGGCTGTCCCTGAAAGAAAGTTGTGTTGTCATATGCCTTTCAGGACAGACAAGTCTAACCTTTACCTCTTTTTCCTACTTTGTGTTTTGAGTACCTTTCCTACTCTGAACTCTTATTAGGAACTTACTGGATATCTGATTGGAATGCAGGTGTTCATAGTGTCTTCCTKCCATTTTAGGCTCTAAGGTTGTTCTTATCACAGTGATGTGGGCTGTTCATTGGTAAGGAATCTACTCACTGCAGCACAGTTTAAAACAGTCTGGCTTTAATTGTATTGTTATCTAGGGTTTACAATCTCATTTATGTAGACAATCAACTTACTATTGCTTTTTTCTCTACAGAAGGCTAAATCTCTGAAGATGTCTTCTAATAATGACCAGGTTGTTATCCCAATGCTACGAAGACACACCAATGGCCTTCCTGAGATGATCTCTGCTGACGGGGAGACAATTACCCAAGGAGCTGTGTTGAGTTTTCATAATATCTGCTATAGAGGACAAGAGAAGAGAGGCTCTCTGCTCCGACGAAGAACAGTTGAGAAAGAAATACTATCCAATATCAGGTATGTGCATGAACTTTTTAAAAATCACTTTCTTGACCTACCATGAACCTCATAGGCTTTGCCTGTAACCAATAAGCTGAACATTTGTATACAAGTCTTTGTAGAGACATGTAGACACATGCTTTCTTTCCTTTTGGATAAACTAAGACTGAAATGATTGGCACACTTGTTAAGTATATTTAACTTTGAAAGGAACTGACAAATTCTTTGTAAAAATTATTGCTTCCTGTGTTTGAGAAACCAAACAATGTGTCATTTAGTTTTGAAGTGGGAACTAAAGTGTGGAGAGAATGGAGCATGTCKATAAAACTTTCTCGCTGTCAGGTATCTCAATTAAATTGCATATGCTAGATATTGGGGTTATTAATGTTTTTCTCATTTCTAGAAAACAGAAGCTATAATTTCCTTCCACAGTGACTGGAAGTGAATTTTGTTTTGCCCAGACAGCACAACATACAAGTATTTTCTGTTTATTTGCTTAAAAATAAAATCGTTATTCCTAGAGCAAGAGAGCAACTTTTTTGGGGGGAGTCTCCAAGGCAGGGGCTGGGGATTACAAGTGGCCTTTAATCTGGTGTGGCTATGAACCTATATGGAATCAGATGTTTGTCCTATTTCCTTGATATTTTGTATGTGACTGTAATCTTCTGTGTTAGTAGCAGCCATCTTCCTTAGAGGCAAGGAAATGTTGAGGATTATCTATGTTTATATGTGGATGAGAGCAAAATGATCAGGATCTGAATGATGACTGAGCTGAGGCCTGGAGCACTGTGCAGAATTGGAACTCTCTCCATGCTCTACACCTGACGTCATGTCTTCTTATCTCTTTCTTATGTTGGTTACATTCTGAGTAGGAGAATAATAGTGGATGCAAAACTGTCATTTTTAGCTGCATGAGTCAATAGATTTGACTAATGAACAGTTGAGAGCATTTTGCGAAACATAATCAAGAAAATGTTGGTACTTCAGATTTTGTGGTGAAAGAGGCAGGAAGCAACAGGAATTGAATACGGGCAGGTTTGAATAGCTGTAAAGTGCACACTGTGTGCTTATATGTTTTAGCTAGCACCTCCATGCACCGTCTCCTCTAATCAAGGTTCACATTGAGTGTGCCTGAATGGTGTACTTCTTGGCAAAGGAGGAGGTYATCATCTTGTGTTTCCTACTGTCCACACTGCACTGCATTTGCTCCCCTCCCTGGGTCTCTTTCCTTACTCATCGCCATTAGTTTTTTTGGCAATCATTTGAGAGCAGGCTGTTCATGTGATGCTCCTTCACCCCTAACTCCTTCTTAATTAGTTTGCAGAAAGAAGGACTCTTTTATGTATAATCTCCAGTTGTTTTCTGGCAGCAGCTGAGGGGAAATATAGCCTCAGAATGAAGGAAGGAGTGGTCCTCAGGGCTGCCCATCACCTTGCTCCTCACATAGCTGACTGGCCACCACATCGTGTCTCTGCAGGCTCATACAATCTGGTATTTTTGTCCCAACCCCTCCTGGTGATGTTAATATTGATCACCTGGCTGTATTGCTGTCTGCAAACTTCACCATAATGGACATTATTAGTATTAGGAGGGCAGATGCTCTGACAATGTTTAAGAATCCTTCTCCTCATTGAGCTGCAACTTACCAGCTTCAGTTCCCATTTGTGGGTGCTGTGTGGATCAGCAACACGGTGGTAGTGATTTTTTATTTTATCATCTCATAGTTTTGCATTCTTGTAGGGAAATAGTTTCATTCATGGTCCTTTCTTTCATTCATTGTACTGACTCATGAATTCCTATTTCATTCAACAGCATTCAGTACCAATGCATGGTTATTTATCTTGATACACCTATTATTATTCCTGGTTTGGTCAGTGGAAAATCGTTCCAAGTGAGTTCCCTTTGTCCTTTTTTATTTTGACTTATCCCCTAATTCTTTGAGGACTTCCTTAGCACTGCTAGAARTTCCAGATACTAATGTGCATGGTGGCATGACTTGTAATTTCACCTACTCAGTGGGCTGAGGCAGGGGGATCACATGTTTGTGGACAACTGGCAGCGTAGAGATAGCATGACTCAAAAGAAAATTTAAAAGTGGCTGTGGATGTAGTTCAAAATTAGAGAGCTTGCCTAGCATGAATGAGACCCCACAGAAGTTCCAGGTTCACTGTATAATTACTTTGCCAGATCTGGGGCCAGCTGCTGTTCATTCCTGTGGAGGATGGTATTTACAAACCAACATCTGGGTGTTTAGAATGCTCATTGCTATTCATGTGTCTTTAGAATTAAACCACCTCAGTGGACATGCCTAGAGAATATATGTATGCATGTACACACACACTCATGTATACACATACATTTATAACATTGTCAAAAAAAAAATGCCTCTGTGTGCGCACATGCACATGGATCTGACCAAGAGGGGTAAAAGGAGTGGTGGGTGGAGTGACTGCTCCCACAGCACCTTGGGAGTTTTCCATCTATACTTTTCTATAATTCTCTGTATAGATTAAAAACTATACAGAGTTAATTAATGCTCCAATTCCAACTGAATGAGATTCTGTTCTCAGAAATTTTATAATCTAATGGTTGCACAAAACTAGAACATTTTTACTGTGTTATTGTGGTGTGATAGAAGGATTAAAAGGTACAATGTTAACTTGTAACCCTAAATTGAAAGTTCCAAGATCATGGAGTTTGAGAAAATGGATATGTTGAGTGAGCATGTGTATAGGGAGGTGGGACATGCTCCAAGAATATCCTTGACACCACTTTTCCACAAACAAAACAAAACCAAAGGATTAGTTCATTAAAATGTAATAGATGTGACAGGAATCCGTAAGGTGAGTTTTATTTCACACATTTATAATTCAGTATGTTACTTATTATGGGAGATGGATGGAGGATAAAATAGTGACMGTATGACACAGTTCTTGTTCACAATATCTTCAAGTAAAATAAGGAGAATCAAMATATACAAACACCATAAAGCAATAAACAACAGTGAGCCATGATTATCTTTCTTCCCTCCCTCCCTCTCTCCTCCCTCTCTCCCTCCCTTCTTTTGTCCCTCCCTTCCTTCCTTTCTCCTTCCTTCCTTCCCTTCTTCCTTTGTTTACTTCTCTTTTTTTTTCTGTGGATCAAAGCCAGGGCCTTGTGCATGCTATGCAATCACTTTACTATCAAGTTATGTACTCAACCCTTTTTATTTAGAGACAGTGTATTGCTAAGTTTCCCRGGTGGCCTCAAACATGCTATCCTCCTACCTCATCTTCCCAAGTACTTGGGAGGCATGGGCCACCGCACCCAGCTAGAATGSCTTTTAAGGTGTGAAAGAAGGATGGAAGGGGTTGGGGACATAGATCAGTGGTAGAGCACATGCCTAGCATGTGCAAGGTCCTGGGCTCAATCTCCAGTACAGGGAAGGTTTGGAGGCAGAGGGTAGGGTGRRGAGACCAGGGAATTGTGGAACTTAYACTAGAACAGAGACTAGCAAAACACTTTCTGTGAAGGGCCAAATAATAAATTATTTTGAACTTTTWGRGGCATTCAACTGGGTTGAAAATAARTTCTGCTTTTGTAACATGGAAACAACTATAGATACTATATAACCCAACAAGTGTGGTTGTGTCTCAAACCACTGTTTATGAAGACACGGGTGACCTGCTGTAGTGTTGCTGTTTCCTTAGCTAGAATATCAACTCTGAGAGGGATAGAATCTTTTACTTTTTGTTTTTCTGCTTTTGTTGTTGTTGTTTGTTTGTTTGTTTTGTTCTCAGCTCTATCCCATGTCATGGAAGAGTGTTTCGTCTGTACATCATACACACTTAATGTTGTSTTGTGTCACGGAGGTAGAATTAGCCACTGTTCTACTTTGGAACCCTTGCATTTGTGATTGCATATCATTGTTTTCTGTTAACGCTAGAGTTTAGTGTCAAAGCAAGCAAATTTATTTGTCTTAACCCATCCAAGTTCAGTATAATTCAGGAATAATTCAGGATTACTTGGTCTTTATTTGACTAGGTATTACAAAAATCTGGAAAACTGGGGCTGGGGTTGTGGCTCAGCGGTAGAACACTTGCCTAGCATGTGTGAAGCACTGGGTTTGAGCCTTAGCTCCACATAAAAATAAATAAATAAAGATATTGTATTCATCACTAAAAAAAATTATAATAATATTTTTAAAAATCTGGAAAACTCTTCTGACAGTGAAACCTTAGTAAATATCAAACTTGTTTGGTCATTTTAGAAGCAGAGACTAGGTAGCTATTAATAAAAAAAAAAAAAAAGATGCACTGTTACAGATGAACCCACCTTGAYRTTTCCCAATCATTGCTATGTCTTCCCATTGGGAGGTGAAAGGSTACWAAAGAATAARTGATWTTCCTGTTACAGTTTGTTCCAGGGTTATGGAATTCTCATTGTCTCTGATGTTTCAGTGAGAGGTTCCTCAGTTAGTGAGCAAAGTGAAASGTGCAYTTCAYGTTAGTTTCCAGCAAGTCRTAGTATAATGGTGAMAGATCAGGTGCCACAAGCAAGTGAATGCTAAGACCCTCTTGGATGTGAGCACTGTGTGGAAGTTGTGCTGGGAAATTTATAACCTCTGTGGGAGTAATCATCTAAGAATGAAGTAGCTGTCAGCTTTGATCTTGCATGTGGAATAAATACTGTTTTCTATGTAGAATACATCTTGACCTCTGTACAATTTTAAAGGGAGACTAGATGTAGACACCAGCATTCTGAATGAGATARATGAGGCCTCTGTTTCATCATGCCTGTGTACCTACAGTGGCTCTGCTATAATTTTTTTTCCTTTTCCTACCCCATCTGAATATTCACTACCCTCATGGCTCTGTAGGAAATTTACTTATGCCTGGATGTTCTTAAATGACATCGCCTGATAAGTGATGTTTCTAATTCTAAAATGAGCTCTTGGACACTTAACAAAKAAGGAGCTGATCTATGGTGAGAGTGTGTTTCCTTTTCTAATTGTTGAGACTTTTCGTTAGTGTTAAGCACCTGTGATGCTTTCTTATCCTCTGGAGTGCTCCATTCTAGCTTTTCATTTCTACTTAAGATATGTTGGGTTTTGGTCTGATGAGATATTAGCAGTGACATCACTACTTCTCATAGTCTCCAAGTCAGTGGTTGATGGATTGTTTAGGGCTGGCTAGGTAGCAAGTGAGGTCAGTGGAAAACACTAATCATTGAACAACTCTCAGAAGTTCTCATGTACTTCTACACTGTGCTGGAGGCGCTACTTTACTGGAGAGAATCTGTTACTTATTTCAAGGAACTTTTGATTTGTTGCTGGGCATGGAGCCTATGGCCTCCTGCATGCTAACTGCTATCTCTGCAACTGATCTATATTCCCAGGACAATTTCAAGGAATTTTTTAGATGTGTCATTTTCCAAGAGGGATAAGTGATTTAGAAAATAAATGGAAGGAATTTAGAGGAACTTAGCCATCTTTCTTGTAGGTATTGACTAGGACTGACGTCTTTTGTATACTGAACTTCTATTAGTCATCAATTCTATTTTTTTCTCTTTGATTTGGTATTTGTTTACTGTTTGCTATTTCATCAGACTTTCTTGAGTGTATTCAGTGCAGACTACAAAGTAATAGAGAATGAAATGAAACAATGAGTCATTTTTTTTTTTTAAATGAAACAATGAGTCATTTTTGTGTGTGTGTGTGTTTCCAGTGGGATCATGAAACCTGGCCTCAATGCCATCATGGGACCTCCAGGTGGAGACAAATCTTTGTGAGTATAACAAAATATAAGTAAGCTTTTTCTGTGCAATTTTGGTATTTTTTTAAAAAATCACCTTATAACTGGGCATGTTGCTGCACTCCTGTAATCCCAGCGGCTCAGGAGGCTGAGACAGGAGGATCACGAATTCAAAGCCAGCCTTAGCAAAAACAATGCACTAAGTAACTCAGTGAGACCCTGTCTCTACACAAAATACAAAATAGGGCTGGGGATGTGGTTCAGTGGTTGAGTGTCTCTGAGCTGAATCTCTGGTACCAAAAAAAAAAAAAATCACTTTACAGAGCAGGTGTTGGTTAAGCCTTTGCTGTACATTTCCAATCTGGTCCTATGTGCTGGAGATAACATGCAGTCAGACTGGCTTATCCCAAGGACCAGAAAGTCCTATTAGGCCACCTTCACTCACACAGCATAAAAGGTGATTGACATAAAGTTATTGGACATATTATAAAGCAATGTGGATGAAAAAGTAGGGAATAATGTTAAAAGTGGGGAGAAGAACTGATACAACAGCTAGAATGATATCACTGTCCTAAAAAGGGCATACTGCCATTCCTCTCTACCTTTCCCTTTAATTCCACTATCAATCTTTCGTTRAAGATAAATCTTAGAAAAAAGAGCACATTGCCTAGTTGGATCTTCTAAGGCCAGACAGCCGGGAGAATCACTTGAGAGGTCTGTGCTGGACAAGCTAAATTTTTCTTGCATTTTTATTTTTGAGCTTTTTGTACATAATGAAAAGGAAAGTGAGAATTGTGTACCTATATGGGTATAGATAAAATTTTAGTCATACCATGTACTTCTTGACTAGTACATTTTCTAATGCACAAAATTTAGTTTCAGGATAGCTAAGTGATATGGCCTGAGTGGAGAGAAAAAAAATAACTCAGAAAATATCTGTCTTTGTATAGGTTGTTAGATATCTTAGCTGCAAGGAAAGATCCATGTGGATTATCTGGAGAAGTTTTGATAAATGGAGTACATCAGCCTGCCAATTTCAGATATAATTCAGGTTATGTGGTACAAGTAAGTATCAGTGAGTTTGATTTTTATGTTTCTTCCTTTTCTATGTGGGAAAGAGCCTTGGATTGTCATTTTGTGTGCTCCCAGATGAATACCTGACATGCTCATGGAACCATCTTTCTGTACTGTAGGTCTTCATAAAATTCCATAAGATTGATAGTGGAATTAATGGAAAGGTAGAGAGGATCCGCAGTATGACCCTTTTAGGATAGTGATATTCTTGCTGTTGTATCACTTTCAAAAGTGTCTGCTGTTATACTTTTTGCCTTTCCTTCAAATTTCTGATTCCTCTAGAAGATGCCTTTGGTAAACCATCATGCAAAACAGTGTGAGTCATCATAATTATATGTGCTTCCTGTGGCTGTGCATTTGTGAATGAAATGACTCCCTTGGGCTCTGTAGCTGTCTGTATTGGGGATGACTATAGTTCACAGAGTTAAAAGTTCCCCATCACCTAGAATGTTACATTGCATATGTTTCTTCTGAGGATTAAGTTACATACATCAGAGTGATGGTCTTAGAAAAAAACTCTTTGTCTCATTCAAATACTATTTGTCTTAAGGATGATGTTGTGGTGCACACCCTGACAGTAAGAGAAAACTTACAGTTCTCAGCAGCTCTTCGACTACCAACTATGACAAATCATGAAAAAAATGAGAGGGTTAATGATATTATGGAAGAGTTAAATCTGGATGACATGGCAAATTTCAAGGTAATGTGGGGGAAAAATAACCTGATCAATCATAGCCGGAAAAAGGATCCCTGTGTAGATAATATGACCCTTAATCATAAATGTCCTATAATATGCATGGTCAAAAGTGGCCGCTTTCTTTAACAATGAGAAAAGCAACTAGTTTCATACTGTGAAGGGGGAAACTAAGTGGGAAAACAATCATAATGATGGTCAAATCCCAAGAATGAAGTGTGAACAGATTTTTCCATACAATTGTCATTGTATGTACCCGCACTGTCAAGTTATGGCTCATTTGATGTCTTTGCATTAACTTTTCTTCTTCCCCTTTTAGCTTTTCTTTTCCCTCTTTTCCTCCAGTGAACTTTCATCTAGTGTGGTTTTTTTTTTTAAGTATAATTCTGGAATTGATTAATGATGAGAATCCAAGGATTCTTGCTCTCTTTCACTTTGGTGTAATTTGTCTTTCAAAATTTATCCATAAACAGTAGGATTTACTTTTAATTTTTGTAGTGTTCAAGTTATTCTTCTATAGTATCTCTTTAGCAGTTTTCTCTGTCCTCACCACTTTTCTTCTCTCCCTTCTTCCCTTTCTCTTACTAATGTATTTCAGAATCTTACATGTCAGACTTTTTTTAGGATTGAGAAGTAGAGTGGTGGGCAAGAGTGACAAAGATTGGACAAAGTAACTCTTCTGTTTATGGACTGTGCAGGATCAGAGAAAGATGAGAAGAGAGTAAACTTGACAGGTGAACACTCCATACAGAAGTTTTGCTGAGCAGACCTTTGGGTGATAATGAGCTGTTTAGAATATAGTGGCTCTGGTTTAATCTGCTGTGATCTCCCCTCCAGGAGGCAATGATGACTGCAGAAGAGTGTTCTGTAGGCAGCTGCTTCCTGTTGTACTTACTTATAGTTTTTATGTGAAATATATTTTTGTTTGAAAAATCCTATGATACCACCATTTTCCACATATTTTTGCTTTGTGACTTATTGAGTTGTCATTATTTTGGCTTTATTTATTGAACTATTGTCTTTCCACTTTGGTAGCWTCTTTCACTCTATTTTTTAAGGTTTTTTTTTTTTTTTTGAACTTGTAGATGGACAGCAGGCCTTTATTTTATTTTTGTGTGGTGCTGAGGATTGAACCCAGCACCTCCCACATGCCAGGCAAGCAATCTGCCACTAAGCTACAGCCCCAGCCCTCATTCTATTCTTTATCATTAAGCACTCACTGCCTTAAGTTTCTCAATTCAATTTCCAGGAAAAAATATACAGATACTGCTGGAATTATTAAAATTCATAAATTCGATTAAAATAATTTTGATTTTTTACTTTTTATGATGTTTTAAGCATTACAAAAATGCTAAGAAGATAGTCTGATTACTATGACGTAAGTGTTGAACAATTCATATAGTAGTATGATTACTAAAAAAATTCATGCAGGTGTCTCAGTTGTTAATACATCTTATCTCATAATTACAACTGCTGTTTCTTACTGAAGTGTTTTAATAGAAAGTTATGTGACATTTTATCCTTGAGTATTTATTAGGTATCTAGAAAAAAAGCAAGGACACTTGTGTACCTTCCCCAATACCATTATCAACTAACAAATCAAACAATATCTCCATGGCAGCTGCAATACCAAGAGCATCTTCATTCATATTTCCCAAGTTACCTCCACATGGTAAAGTTCAGTTTTTGATAGAATCCAATCAAGGGCCACAAGTAACATCTGAATATTATCTTTTTGGAGACTCTCAGTTTCACAATTGTTTCCCAATTCCTGCCTCCCCCAAGCCTTTCTAGTCCTCTAGCCATGAACAATGACCCTGACTGGTTGAAAACATTGAACCAGTTGCTGGATGGAATATTCCAGTAAATGGATTTATCCTAAAGAATGAATTAGGAATTCTATGGTGAGTTAGGGAAAGCCTTGTGATGATTAAAATGAAACAAATATGGTACAGTAGAAAGTGAATTTCTCTGGCTCCAAGTTCACCCTCTTCTTGTAAGTGTACTAGAGAATTTGGGTGGATGTAGTGGGCTGAGAGTGTTGACAGAAGACTAATCAATTACTAGTGATGCTTCCCCTTTTCCTCTGCTGTCTTTATCTCTGTTTTATACTGAAATTTCACTATGTCAGGGCCATCTGCATTAGTATTCTAAGGCACTGTCTTAAAACTATATATTTGACTTGATAAGGACAAAAATATTAAGAGTCTGGACTTTCTATCAAGTCTAGCTTCTGAGCAGCTCTGTCCTAAGCCTCAGTTTACCTATCTGGTAAAAGAGAACCTCCTCTTTCTCAGGGGCCTATTTCCTTGATGTTCAAAATCATGAGGATAATGACATAAAGTTTTCCAAGCAAGGCTGGCACAGGTCAGTTCAACAAAAGAGAGTGACTTTGGTAGTTTTCTGTTGATAATGATAATAATCTGTGTTTTAGGTTAAATCTAGAGAATTGAAAAAAAGGACTAGTATAGCTGTGGAGCTGATCACTGATCCTGCCATTTTGTTCCTGGATGAGCCAACAAATGGTCTAGACCCAAGCACTGCAAATACTGTTTTTTCACTCCTGAAAAAGTAAGTKCTATGGGAACATTTTTTTTTTCTATTTTCAATCACTTCTATGTACAGGTGTTCTTATTGCAGGGGATTCTGAAGTAAATTGCAAGGTTTTCATTGTTAGAGAAAAACAGTCAATTAAAAAACAAGTAGTAACAAGAAAGCTTAAACAAGAGCTTGGGGAAGAAGGCTGTGGTGGGTGTGGGGAGCTCTTTTAAACAGCCTGAGGGTCAGGGAAGACCACAGCATGGGCATGGGAGCTGGAGGAGAGGGAATGGGACCTGAAGATCCTGCGGAAGAGAGTTCTGGTTGGAAGGAGTACCCCGTGGCCCTGAGGTAGAGTATTCCTGATGTGTATGGAATATCAGAGAAGCCTCGGAGACAGCACCCAGTGACTGAGGGGAGTGCAGGTTGATTCTGTACTGTTATAACAGTGCCACAGGCTGTGGACTGAGCAACAGAAATCACTTTTCTTCTAGCTCTGGTGTCTGGAATTTGAGATCAAGGGGTCCACAGGATTGTTTCTTCCAAAGCCTCTCTCTTTGGCTTGAAGATGGCCATCTTTGCCCTGTGTGTCTCTGTCCCAATCTCTCTTAACTGGACACAGTCAGTTGAGAAGCCACCAGTCAATTACATTCTTTAATCTTAAATACCTCTTTAAAGACACTGTCTCTAAATGTAGCCACCTTCTGGGATACAGGGGGTTAGGACTTTCACATATAAATTTTGAGGAGGCCACAATTTAACCCATCCGTTAGAATGAACTATGAGGTAGAGTTGGGTTTGTGGCAGGTTACTTAGTCCTTGAAGGGCATTGTAAGACAAATGGCTTTTCCTGTAACTAGGGAACATGAGAGCWTCTGGAGAGTGCCAGAACAGAGCAGAGACTGTGGGGAAGGTTGTGCGTTGGACAAGAGTGAGTGAAGGACACTGGGAAGGAGCTGCAGAGGCAGGATAGGGCCTGGGCCAGGATGCTGATGGTGAGGTGGTTGGAAGAGCCATCTCAGTTTCCTTTGTGCCTCAAGATCCTTGCAGAAACAGGCTTATTTCTGGTTTTCCTATTTTTTTTCCTCTAATCTAAAAGAGTTCCTAGACATTCCCTGTCATATCCTTGCAATTCTTAGTCCATTCTATGGAGTGACCCTTGGGTGGGACTATGCCTGTCTTCCACGAGCTGCTGTTCTCTGAACAATACACCCAGAGTTATGCATATACCTCAGGTGGTATGGATCTCTGTCATCTTGGGATCTGCTGGGCTTCTCTGCTGAGAAATTACTATTCATCTCCACCGTAATTGATTACTGTTTTGTTAGGGAAGATATTTGGCTATTATGTCTATGTTATATTCATCACCAAATCTCTTCCCACCAGTTTTAGCATACACCAATAATGCCTGCTCTTGTGACAGTTACCCAACATTCAATAGTTGACATTGTGTGGAAGGAAGAAATTTCTCTCCTTCCTTATTTATTTTCTGTTTGACCCAATGGATTAATCTGTTCTTCACTGTTTTAATGATCAAATTATTTCAGATTTGGCCAGTGGAATCCACTTCAATGTGGCTTTCCGGTTTTTCTATTTTTTTTTTTAATATTCCCCTTATTTTCTTCTAGCATTTTTACTTCTTGATCGCTATAATATTCAAGGTTTATCATATATTCTTCCTGCAAGAGCTGTTTATGCCAGAGGTTCTGGTTCCATCTGGTATAGTTATTTATTTTATTTTTTATTTTATTGACTTTTAAAAAACATAAATGACAACAGAATGCATTACAATTCTTATTAAACATATACAGCATAATTTTTCATATCTCTGGTTGTATATAAAGACCAATTTGTGTCTTCCTACAGATACTTTGGTTAGAAGCTAATATCTGGTTTCTTAGTGTGGTCCCTGCTACCAGAGTGGCATAATTTCTATATCCTTAGTAGACAGAACAAGGAAATACATATGTGTGATATGTGTGTGTGTGTGTGTGTGTGTGTGTGTGTGTGTATGTGTTGGGAATCCAAACCAATGGTTTTGCACATGCTAAACACCAGCTTTACTAGTGAGCTACACTCTAGCTCATATGTTTATATTTCCAACAAAAATCATATATAAACATAGATCTGTAAGTAATGCTGTTTAAATATATATATTCAAAACCACATGAGTTCTGTGCTAGTCAGGTTTTCATAATTGTGGCCTAAATACCCAACAAAATCAACTTAGAGCAGAAAAAGGTTTTGGGGGCTCACCATTTCAGAGGTTCAGTCCATATTCAACTTGATGTCATTGCTTTGGATAGGAGATGAAGCAGAACACCAGGACGAAGAACATGGAAGGAGAAGCCGCTAATTTCATGGTGGCTTGAAGCAGAAAGAAAATGGAAGGGGCTGCAGGGAAGACAACCCCTTCCTGATCACACCACTAGTGACCTACCTCCTCCAGCCACACCCCACCTGCCTACATTTACACCCCAGTTAGCCCATCCAAACTAGGATGGATTGATTAAATTACAGCTCTCCTAATCAAATTATTTCACTTCTAAATATTTCTGTGTTAAATTGAAGATTTTGAGACACCTTATATTGAAGCCATAACAGCTCATGTTTATGTCACAATGCAAAATGCATTCAATCCATCTCCAGAGTCTCTATAGGCTTAATAGTTCCAGAATTACTCCAAAGTCCAAGTCCAAAGTTTTCAGTGAGACTCAAGGCCAACTTTTGACTGTGAGCCCCGGTGACAATATCAAAAGCAGGTTACAAACATCCACTATATGATGGCACAGATTAAATATCCCCATTCTAAACAGGAGGAATGGAGGCATAGAAAGAAGGAACAGAACCCAAATAAGACCTTAACCTAGGTGGGCAAACATTTCCTTAGGTTCATATCCAACATCTGGGCAGATGATGGTGAATTGTTAACTCCAAAGGTCTTGGGCAGAGCCCCACCCCTATGGCCTTGTTTGTTGTGGCCTATGTGGCCTCTCTTTTCCTCTGGCTCTGCCTACATTTAGCAGCTTTCCTTGGCAGACATTCCACATTCCTGGCATCCCTTAATCTCCTGGGTCTCCACTGTAGCTTTGACTTCCTTCTCACAGCTTCATACCTCACCCTTTCAGGGACTTCCCACAGGGATACTGACTCTGCCACACTTTGCCTAGCCTCCCAGGCCTTCCTTTGAAATCTTGGTGGAAGTTTCCAATCCCTTAACTATAGAATCTTGCATTTACACAGAAACAACCCTGCATGGGTGATGCCAAAGATTGCAACCAGCTCAGGTAATAGCTGGGTCCCCTGAAGTGGCTTCTAAGTACCTGTGCCGCCAAGCATGGTGAAATAACTTCCTTGCCCTCCTGCCATGTATAATAAGTAAAGTGCACCCCCAAGGTCATTTAAATGAGTTTTCACTTCTATATGCTTGAGCTGCAGTTGGTATGGTATTGCTGATTCCTGAGATATAGTCAAGGTGTCTTTCTGTTGTTTTAGTGCCCAGTACTTAACTTCTCTTTCATGATGGTACCATACCTTTTTGGCCACAATTTTACATGTACTTCTCTAGCCAACTTGTAAGTTTTAAAAATCCTCCTCCTTCACTACTTTTTGCTCCTGATTCTACCAGTAACCCTGGCTACAAACTGCTAGCAATATTCATGCCACTGCCTGATTGCTGTGCATGGAAGCACTGGGCAAGCATTTCACTGCGGATTCACTCCCTAACCTTTTAACTATCTTGTTTTACACTGTGTAGAGTACAGGCATCCTTGTTTATACAGAGAGCTCTACCCAGTCCTTCTCAAGCACCACTCTGCTCTCATGCCCTGAGTCTGGTTAAATATGTAGATTCTGTTTCTCTAGGACTGAGGTAGAGCCCCAGTTTCTTCCCAGGAGATTCTAAGAGGAGGTCTTCATATTGGTGCTGCTGGTCCTCAGACCACACATTGGGTATCAGGGCTCTCAGGTAATCCCACTTCATGCCCTGAGTCCTTTACCAGCTTCCGATTCCCTATGAGCAAAGTTCCAGTTTCTGAGTGAGGGTTTAGCATGGGCCTGTTCTGCTCTCTCTGTACTCACTTTATCTTCCTCGTCCAACACCAGTTCACATTCACATTCACTCACACACAAAAAACACTTAGTCCTGAACACTGAGCTTCTTACTCTACTTTCCCAATGAGATCTTTTTATTTCACACTTTGTTCACCTTGTTCTCCTACCATGAGTGATTTTCTCTTCTTAGCTCACCACTCCTGTTGGGCCTTTGAATATTCTACTTAAATCATCTTTAGACTGGGTTATAAGTCTCCTGTTTTGATCCCAAGAAACCTTAGTTAAATTTATTCCACATTGTATTCAGATTATTGGTCTTATGTCCTGATTCTCTTTGAAGCAGAACACACTCTGCTAGTGTATACTGGGTGGTGATCAAATGCATGAATTAAAGTGATTCTTCTCATAAAATATTTTAATAACAGCTTTGAGCAGTGGTTTTCACCTTTGTTTTCTGTGCCCATTAGTAATAACTCCTATGCAAAGGTAGCTTAGCACTTTTTTTTTTTAACCATGGAATAGAACTAGCCTTTCCCCTCAGTAACTGTGACCAACTCCTTGGCCAGTTACTTGACCTTTAATGCATATCTGTAAAAGAAAGAAATAATAATATTGCAACTGCCTTTAAAAAGTAGTACAAAAATTGAAATTAGGTTACCTTTAAAGCATTTATTACAAAATTATAAGCTGCCAGGATTATTAATTGTATTGTCAGAGCAGAATGAAAAACAATCCTAAAAAGACAGAAGATTAGAGTGGTCAAAGAATAGGGTGTAGGACYTTTGTTTGAATATTTAGTTCATTATTAGTTCTTAAACATGAGTGTAGTTACAGATTACTTGAAGAATTTTAAAAACTATGGGCTCACAGTACTGACTCCTAGAAATTCCAGTTCAATATCTGGGAAGACATTCCACTAATCTGCATTGTCAGTGAACATTTTACTGGATTTTAGAATGCTGATGCTGGGTCCTTTAGAAGCCCTAGCTTAATAAGAGCATGGAATTTAGGTTCCCCTACTATCATGAAGGTAATATGAGATGAAAAGTTTGTTCAAAAAAATTAATTTGAGCTATAGGAAAATGCTCTAATGAGAGAAATAAAGTATTTTAACAAGAATCAGATTTTAACGGCTTATTATTTTTCTTCTTTCTGCATAGGATGTCTAATCGTGATCGAACAATCATCTTCACCATTCAACAGCCTCGGTATTCCATCTTCAAGCTGTTTGACAGCCTCACCTTATTGGCTTCAGGAAAATTAATGTATCATGGTCCTGCACAGGGGGCTCTGGAGTACTTTCAATCAGCAGGTGTGGTTGACCTTTTCACGCACTAGATCCTTCATTCATAGACTCCATGGTAGAGTACAGGGGTCCACAGGAGTGTTGCTTGATATCTGTGCAGACACACCTTGGGATCCCCCACTGTAAAACATCTTCAGTCAGTTTCCTGGTAACTTTTGCTTCATTTTGCAGCACCTGCTTGTTTTTTAGGTCTTTTTCTTGTTTGTATTTGAGTGTACATGCATGTGTGTGAGTATTTTTACTAGGACATTGTTCTGCTTCACAGTTATGGTGTTCTTTCCCTGAACATTCAATGATTAACTGGTCGGACAAACAGACAGTTTCACATTTATGGTAAGGCCCAACATTATTATCTTCTTGACCATTGTAAGAGATTGTGGTTTTTTAGCTTTCCTCCTGACCAGTGATCTTGCTGTGCCTTCATGAGGGCTCATGGAGATGCTACTTTATTTTCYAGTAAGATTAGGTTGCAGATTTAGGCCCTGAATGGATTTGAGTGACCCATTAGTCAATAGAATGACCGATCTTAAATCTGATTTTGATGTGCCAAAATTTTGGGGCTACCTCATTCTTTGTATTTCAGGTTGAATTATGTGATTTTAGAAAATGGCTCACTCAATCTGCTTCATTTTAGAGATATTGGTTGTGATTATAGATGTTTCTCCATGATCCCATATACAGTTTAAATAGTCACTAGTTATTTTYCTTAATTTTTATTTAATCTCTGTCATTTAAAAATGATCAATCATATATGGGTCTGGGGAATCCAGAGTAGATGAACTTAAGCATCAGGCTAAAATCAGATGATTGTGGCATAAGAAGCTGAGGTGAATTCAGGTGTGCTGTGCTGGTCATGTTTTAGCAAGAGTGGTGCTATAGGGATTGGTGGAATATTTGGAATTATGGCAGGTGGATCTTTGTATTTAGATGGTGGAGAAACAATTGTTGCTGACATGCTTCCATTATGGAATTTTTTAAAAAACTCAGAGCATACTGGATATGGGTATTTAATGCTTTTTTTCTTGGACTTAGTTTTAGATTTATAAAGTTCTGATAAGCATCAGAGCATTTTGACAGCTCCTTGGGTTTCACGATTTATGATAGTTGAAGACTAATGTAAGATGTTCTGAAAGGATAAATTAGGGGAGAAGAAAGCCAGAAGATGAGAGAGAAGTTGTTAGATTCGACTTAGCCTCACCTCCCTCACCCTCTGGAAGTGAGTCCTCTTTATTTTCTAAGACCATTGGGTTGTGTTCTTAGGTGGCTTTTGTTCTCAGGTTACTCTGGTGAGGAATACCAAAACCCTGCAGACTTCTTCCTAGACATCATCAATGGAAACGTCCCTCCTATAAACAGAGAGGAAGAAAATGAAGGTATGTGTAACTGTTCGATTCACAGATATTTGCCTGATTGGTTTGGTTAATGTTTGACAATATGGTTGGCTGTAGTAGTAGCACAGTGGTAGAGCACTTACCTAGCATGTGTAAGGCACTGGGTTTGATCCTCAGCACCACATAAAAATAAATAAAATAAAAATTCATCAACAACTAAAAAAAATTAAAAATGTGGTGGCTCATTAAAACAGGGCTTTTTGAATTCATGTTAATGTGGTGGTGTCACGCCAATCAACAGATAGACTTTGTTGACCATGAGTRCTGTGCATGTTTTTTTATTTTATATATTAATGAATATTTATATGTTACTGTCAGTTTTAAAGGGAGTTTCCATTAAAAATAAACATGCTCGTTTTTATAATATTTAAAAATGAGAATCTTATTTTAATGTAGTAAAAATCGAGAAACAGATGTTTATATTAAGAAATATAACTATGTATGGTAAAAAGTAATTTTAAGAATTAGGTTCTAATCAGTTAGGAAAAGGTTAGTGAATTTGCTGTTTTCCACAAGATAATGACAGAAGTCAGGGCAATTAACAAGTTTATCAATGTGTAAAGTGATAACAATGCTAGTACTTTTTCAATATTCAACCTTTAGAATTAAGGTGTTAACCAAGAAACAGGAAACAGAAAAACACTTTAAATCAGTTGTTAAATCTGTAAATAATACTTCCCTTCTTTATCCACTTTTATTCCAAAGCCAAGGAGACTGAACAGCTTTTCCAGAGAGAAAAACCAGTAATAGAAGCATTAGCTGAGTTTTATGCCAACTCGGCCTTCTACAGAGACACAGAAGCTGAATTAGAGCATCTGTCAGGGGGTCGGAATAGCAGGAGTCTGGCCTTCAGGGAGATCACCTGTGTCACCTCCTTCTTTCATCAACTCAGGTGGATTTTCTGGCGTTCATTCAAAAACTTGCTGGGTTTCCCTTCGGTCACTCGTCGTCAGGTAACCTGCAGACTCATGACTGTGCTGAGAAATACTGATGTGGGAACAGTTTTGTTCTGATGTAGTCTGCCTCAGGATTTAGTGTATCTTCTACCCACCCTTCCATCTATTTGTTGTCCCTACTCCATTGAGGATATAGTCAATAGGACAGGTAAAAATTAAGTTTTTACTAAGGAAACATTTTTAGTGGTTTCTAGGACACTATCAGAAGTTTTGTTGTTTAGAAGAGATGTAATATATAATCTAAGTACAAAAAGATTTGGGGGGTTCAATCAAGAATTGAACCCAGGGAGGCTTAACCACTGAGCCACATCCCCAACCTTTTTTATTTTTTTTATTTTGAAACAAGGTCTCTAAGTTGCTTAGGGTCTTACTAAATAGCTGAGGCTGACTTTGAACTTGAGATCCTGCTGCTTCAGCCTCCAAGGTCGCTGAGATTCTAGGCATGAGCCACCCATTCTCAGCTAGAAAAAGAGTTTTTTAATTAAACTAAAAGCAATGTCAGTCACATTTGGGGTGTTCTATTAGTTGGCATCCTTCATATATTGATTTATTCCACAACTTGCACGCAGATCATTTGCTGCATTTTGGGGACTCTAATATGGTGGTGAACAAAGTGAGTAAAAATAACAATCTCTGCCCTCATGGAACTTATTTTCTTATCAGGGTAGAGAGGTGGTAATTGGACAAATAAAATATACAGCAGCTCAGATGGCAGCAGGACTATGCAGAAAATTTAAGCAGAGAAGCAATAGAGAAGGGGAGGGAGAGGGCAGGCAGTTAGTAGAAGAAAGTTGGTTTGCAGTTGAAATCAGGCAATGAGGGACACCTGCTGGCACTTAGTACACCTGAGGGAGGTCTGGGATGGACACTTTCTGACACAAGAACCTGTAGGCAAAGTGTTCTTCCTTATAATTGACCCTCCTCATTGAGAGATTCTAATCTCTGAAAATAGATATTTGTAAATAGATATTTCAAAGAGTGTGCTATTTATACACAGGTAGTAACTAGAGTTAATAAGGCTACTCATTGTCCCATTATCTTTCTCAACTGAGATGAGATAATATTCTTTTGCTCTTTTCACTCGTTCTGCAGTGGTTGTTGATGATTACTCCTTATGTTTTTTTGTTATACTTAACCCCTGTAACACATGAAATCCTAGTTGTCCTAGTCAGTTGGGCTGTTATTTATAAGGGAATCAATCTTACTGATAGTTTTTTAGTTATTTTATTATCAGTCATTGAATTTCTCCTAAATACTAAAAGAATATTGTTGGCTCTAATGAAATACTGCTAACTACTTCACATATACTCTGTAATTTTCATATACAAGTCATCACTTTCTGAGTATATCTGAGATCCTATATCCCCATTTGAACATACTGTCATTGCTCCAAATATTTTTGATCCCTATGATATTGACATATCTGTTGGAACCAGGCAGTTAGGTGTCTTAAAAAAATAATTTATGTCATTTGGAGACACATCTGGTGATTTAGATGCATCAACCTGGATTTCCCATGATGGAACAGTGAGCTACAATGAGTTGATTATTTAAGGTGATTCATGCATTTAATTTTTCCTACTTGCCCCTTGAAGTGGTTTATAGTGCTTTATATAAGACAAGTAGATGGTAGTTGTGCACAGGGCATAATTAGAACAGAGCGACTTTCAATAAACCAGGATCGTGTCTTGAGATTACATGTTCAAACTCTTTGTCTCATCAGTGAATTCAGTTCCCCAAAAGGAATTCCAACAATTGTCTGAAAAGTAGTAGTCTCTAGAAGAAGGGTAGAACCTTGTAGCTCCCTGAGATTAAAGGAACAACTCTTGTTCAGGTTTGTAATAGGTATAATGTAGTACATTATATATATACCTACAGAAATATAATTTTTAGTAAAGGGCCAGTTGGAAAATCTTTCATGCTTTTAAAGTATGAAACTACATGTTCACTGGCACAAAACTTGGGAGCTCAGTTCAACTCTGAAAATTTGCTCCCCAAGTGTCTTCAGCACTCTGCTACCCTGTGTGGCAGTGTCCAGTTGACACTGAAAGGAATGTTAACTTGCACAGTCATCTGCTCTGTTGTCCTATCAGCTCCCAAAACAACAGATACTTTAATTTTCAATTTAATTTAGAAAGCACACTAATAATACACAGTGTTTTGTATTCTCTTAGGGACTCTGGCCAAGCCATTTAAAGTGTTGACAATCTCAATGGAGAGATTTGATTATGCTGCCAAATATTTTGTAATAATCAGTGTTGTGGCGGGGTGCAGTGGCTCACATCTGTAATCCCAGCAGTTCAGGAGGCTGAGGCAGGAGAATCAAGAGTTCAAAGCCAGCCTCAGCAAAAGGGAAGCACTAAGCAACTTGGTGAGACTCTGTCTCTAAATAAAATACAAAAAAAAAAAATGTCTGGGGATGTGGGTCAGTGGTTGAGTGCCCTGAGTTCAATCCCAAGTTGCCCTCCCCCCAACAAAAAATCAATGATGTGCATGCAACAATTTTACCTCTAATCAAATTTTTTTATTTTTTATTTTTCTTTTTCTTTTTGATAAGCTATGTTACACAGTCATTCTGGCACTGGCTGTAGGTTGCATTTTCCTTGTGTTCAAAAATGATTGTACTGACATCCAGGTTAGGTAAGTAAATTTGGATCTTTACTTGAGAAAATGCTATTACTTTTTTCAAACTTGTAAATATCCTTTAAGAATTTGAATTTATGATAAGTATAGAATAAATGTTACTGTTTAATTCTGGGTAGAATGAGTTGGTACATTAAAAACCAAACGGAAGACTAATCTTTCTTTTTATCAGATGCATGTATATACAAATGTACTAGTAAACTCTGATTTAACCTGTAAACCATTCTTTTTAAAATTTTTTATTTGTTCTAATTAGTTATACATGACAGTAGAATGCACTTTGACACATCATACATAAATGGAATATAACTTCTCATTTTTCTGGTTGCACATGATGTAGAATCACACCCTTTATGTAGTCATTTATGCACATAGGGTAATAATATCAGATTCATTCTACTGTCTTTCCTAACTCCATATCCGCTCCCCTCTCTTTAATCCCCTCTGCCTAATCCAAAGTAACTCTATTCTTCCCTAACAGCCCCGTCCTTTATTGTGAATTAGTGTCTACATATCAGAGAAAACATTAGGTCTTTATGGTTTGCGGGGGATTGGCTTATTTCACTTAACATGATATTCTCCAGCTCCATCCATTTACCGGCAAATGCCATAATTTCATTCTTCTTTAAGGCTGAGTAATAATATTCCATTGTGTATATATACACCACATTCTCCTTATCCATTTATCTGTTGAAGGACACCTAGATTAGGTGTCCATGGTTTAGCTATCGTAAGTTGAGCTGCTATAAACATTGTAATGACTCTATCGCTATAATGTGCTGATTTTAAGTTCTTTGGGTATAARCTGAGGAGTGGAATAGCTGAGTCAAATGGTGGTTCTGTTCCAAGTTTTCTATGGAATCTCCAAACTGCTTTCCAGATTGGTTRCACMAATTTTTAGTCCCACCAGCAATGTATGAGTGCATCTTTTTCCTCACCTCCTTGCCAACATTTATTGTTGCTTGTATTCTTGATAATTGCCATACTACTGGAGTGAGATGAAATCTTAGAGTAGTTTTGATTTGCATTTCTCTAATTGATCGAGATGTTGAACATTTATTTATATATTTGTTGATTGATTGTATTTTTATTTTTTATTTTTTAGTTGTATTTGGACAAAATAACTTTATTTATTTATTTTTATATGGTGCTAAGAATGGAATCCAGTGCGTCCCACATGCTAGGCGAGTGCTCTACGCTGAACYCCAACCCCAGCCCAATTGAATGAAATTCTGTGAAGTGTCTGTTCAGTTTCTTAGCCCATTTATTGATTGGGTTATTTCTTTTTTTGGTGTCAAGGTTTTTGAGTTCTATATATATCCTGGAGATTAATGCTCTGTATGAGGTGCATGTGATAAAGATTTTCTTCCATTCTGTAGGCTTTCTCTTCACATTCTTGATTATTTCCTTTGCTGAGAAAAACCTTTTTATTTTGAATTCATCTCATATATTGATTCTTGATTTTACTTCTTGCACTTTAGGAGTCTCATTAAGGAAGCCAAATCCTAAGCTGACATGGTGAATATTTAGACCTACTTTTTCTACTATAAGCACAAGGTCTCTGTTCTACATCCTAAGTTTTTAATCCATTTTCAGTTGAGTTTTGTGCAAGGTGAGAGACAGGGACTTAATTTTATTTTGTTACATATGGATATCCAATTTTCCTGGCACCATTTTTTGGATAGGCTATCTTTTCTCCAGTGAATGTTTTTGGTGCCTTTGTCTTCTCCTAAGTCCTGCCTACCACCTATCTACTTTGTGTTTCTGAATTTGGACACTCTAGGAATCTCATATACGTGAACTCATAGTATTTCTCTTTTGGTGACTGACTTATTTTCCTTAACATTATGTCCTCAGTGTTCATTCAAAATGTAGTATGTATTGGAATTTGGCTTTTCAGTCTATAAAATAGTTATGCATTTATTATATTTGGCTTTACTCTTCATTTACTGATGAAAATCTGGGAACCTCCAGGTTTGAACTCTTGTAAGTAATGCAGCTATAAGTGTGAAAATATCTCTTTGAGTCCTGCTTTCTGTCTGGAGTAGACACCCAGAAGTGGAATGGCTGGATTATATGGTAATTCTGGTAATTTTCTGAGGAACTTCCAGGCAGTGGAAGCACTATAGCTGCACCATTTTATATTCTTTGTAGCACACAAGGGTTCTAGTTTCTTCATATCCCCACCAGAACTTCTTACTTTGTCTTTTGCTAAATATTATAGTTCCACTGGGTCTTCGGTAAAATGTACAGTCCTTTGTTCATTTTAAAATTGGCTTGGTTGTTGCTATTGTTGTTGAGTTGGAGATCTTTATATTTCTGGCTTATTAATCTCTTATTAATCAGGACCACTTTCATTTTTATGTATTTTGAAATCTCACAGGAAGGTGGCTGTCCTAGTCAAGCATAATTAAAGGCTTTTGGATAGTTGTGTGGTTGACGTCTCTAGTAATGTGCTGATTAAGGATTCCCTCCATTGTCTGTATTTTCTTTCCACATGTCTTTCTTTCATTACTCCACTTTAAAACTGTGTTAGTGTTATGTTCTAKATATGTGATACTCCCCAAAGCTTCTATGTTAATGCAGGGATGTTTGGAGATGAAATGATTGACTTATGAAAACTGTAATCTAATCAGTTCATCCTAGTTTGAATGGCTAAATAAGTAGTAATTGTAGGCACATGGGGCTAGATGAGGAAGGTCAATGGAGGATGAGACCTGGACAAGTTTAGAGTTTATTATACCTGAATCTCTTTTCCTTTTCTCTCTCTGCTTCTGGCCATGATGAAGAAAGCAGCACTTGTACACCACACTATTACACCATGATCTTCTGCCTCAAAATCCATTGGGCCTAGAGCAATGGACTTTGCCAATTGTGGACTAAACCTCTGAATCTATGAGTCAAAATAAACTTTTCCTCCTCTAAGTTGTCAGATAGTTTGTTCTCACCAATGCTAAGCTGAATAACATAAAAATCAGTACCAGAAATAGGGATTTTTCTGTGCCTAACCTGCTCATGTAGTTGAGGAACCTTTGGAAATGGTTTGTAGTAGGAGTTTAGAAAAGTTTGGAGATGCAAGCTAGAGAAGGCTTAAATATTGTAAGCAGAGCTAAATGGGCTACTATGGCAGAAATTTAGAAGACCAAAATGCAAACAGAGCATGGACATTAAGGACTGTGCTCATGAAGTTTCAGAGGGAAATGAGGAATCTCTTGGGAATTGGAGTAGAGACTATTTATGTTACATTCTGACAAATAAGTTGTCTACATTTTGCCCATGTCCTCAGATTTTCTGTGAGGCTGCATTTAAAGGTGAAGGATGAATTAATCTAGTGGAGGAAATTTTATGGCAGTACAGCATTCATTCAGGAAGTGTCATGGCTTACTCTCAGATTTTGGCCAGGTTAACTGTAAGAATCAGGAGTAAAAAACAGAGAAGGAAGATTTATTATTTTTTTAACTTGCAGTTTGGCAAGTTAAATGGGTAATGTAGGGTGTGTAGTAGTCGGGCCAAGAAAACTGTGATTGTTGAAGAGATTATAGCCACTAAAGGGATACTAAGTACTTTAAACAGAGACAGTGGGGAAGATAGTTTGAAGGCATCTCAGGAATTCATAAGATTACATCCATTACAGGCTCAAGGATGTAGAAAGAAAAATCACACTGAGGAAAGATTGTGGGTGCACATTGCTCACATAGTTGGGCCTAGGAAGTTTTTTCACACTTATCAGCTGCCCAGGCACTCAGAGGCTACTACAGCCATGATCCCAGTGGGACCAACTACTGCACAAGCTAGCAGCAGACCTTGATATCATCCATATATTGCTGGTTCTGCCAGAATGCAAGATAAGTTAGTCAATGGATCATAGAGGCTTTCAACTGAGATTCCAGAGGAAGTTCTGTGAGACCAGGTGACGTGTAGAATGGTTGGAATCCCTAAAGGCTGCCCTCAGAGGGTAATGAATGAAGCTGTAAAGATGAATGGAATAGAGACCCCAGAAATGAAATGCCAGTAGTGTGGACTACCTGCTCATAAAAGCTCCTGACTACAGAGAAACCAGGCTAACAGAGAGGCCATGTGCACTACAACTTGCAAGACCAAACAGTCAGGGTGGCTCTAGCCTTTTGGAGATCACATCCCACCACCATGTGTCTTGGATGCAATAAGTAGAGTTTGGGGAGCTTCTTCCTGGCTGGGTTTGGGTCTTTTCTGGTTCTATGCTTTCTTTCTATGCCMCTAATCTTCCATTTTGGAATGGAGATATATACTCTGTACAATGTCATATTGAATATCTGTAATTTTCTTTTGATCTTTACAGGTGCTTATAGCTAAGAGTTTGCCTTGAGTCTCAAATGAGATGTTGGACTTTGAATTTTAGGCACTGCTATAACTGTTAAAACTCTTGCAGGTGAACTAAGTGCATTATAAATTATGAGATGGACGTGAGCTTTTGGGGGCTGGGAATGGTTGGAATATTAGGTGTCCCACAAAGTTCCTATGTTAATGTAGGAATATTTGGTGGTGAAATGATTGCCATTGTGAGAGTGGTAAAGGAATCAGCACATTTTAGTTTGAATGGGCTAACTGGGTGATAACTGTAGGCAGGTGGGGAATTGCTGGAGGAGCTGGGTTCCTGGGAGAATGCCCTAGAAGGGTACATCTTCCCTCTACCCCTTTCCTTCTTTCTTTGCTTCTTGGCTACCATGTTGTGAGCAACACTCCTTCTGCCACGATGTTGCCTCACCTTGTGTCCAGAGCTATGGACTCAACTGACGACAGACTCAATCTCTGAAACCATGAGTCAAAACAAACCGTTAGAAATCTTTTCATTGCTATGACTATAATACTCTACAATAATTACTTAGAGAAGGAAAAGTTTATTTTGGCTCACAGTTTTAGAGGTTCAGTCCATGGTTGACTGAGTTCATTGCTTTGGGCCCAAGAATGAGGTAGAATATCACAGCAGAATGGCAAGACAGAGGAAAGCTGCAAATTTCATGACAGATAGGTAGCAGAAAGAGATAGATGGATAGATAGATAGATAGAGCCAGAGATAAAATATAATGCCCAAATATAAGATCTGAGTACCCTACTTCCTCTAGCCATGACTCACTTGCCTACAGTTACCAACCATATTCCTTTCAAATTAATAATCTATCAAATGCATTAATCCACTAATTAAGTTGAACATCCCTGCATAAACACATGGATTATTGAATATTTAAACAATTTTGAGCTCTATTTATCTTTCTATCATACATTACAATTGATATTTGACATTTGGGGTACTTAAATTGAAAGTGATAGTACTGTTATAATCTATAAATTAGCCTAGGCTGCCGTAAAAAATATTGTAGAATCAGAGGCTTAAACAACAGAAGTTTAATGTATCTCAGTTCTACAATCTGGAAATCTGAGTGTCATTCCAACAGGATGAGGCTCCTGTGAGAATGCTTCATTCCTTGCACATGGCAGTCTTCACTCTGTACCTTCTCCTGACAGAGCATACTGGGATGTTTCTTCCTCTTATCAGTACAGTAATCTTGGGCTCTCTATTCTCATGACCTCTTTTAATTTTATTACTTCTCATGTTACTTATATCCAAATGCCTTCCTATTGGGGGTTGTTGTTTCAAATCAATTTTAGTGAACACTAAAATTTTAGTTCAGAGTAAACTAAGACCATGAATTTCAAAAAATGTGGAATTATAGGAGTACCAGAGGAGAGACCTCATGGAGTTGTACCCTTTCAGTTTCAACCAGAACAGTTCTACACTTTTTAAAGAAAGATATAATTAATGTTATGTCATTGTGGAATCAGTTCTGTGGGTAGAAATCAGACCTACCAGCATTGACTTGACTGTGGTACTTTTGTTCCTGTTCTGTCCTGGCAGAGCCTGGGGACTCTATATACTGATTGTCTTCCAGTGTTTCAGCAGTGTGACAGCTGGGGAGATGTTTGAGCTCGAGAAGAAACTCTTTAAGTGAGTAGATCTCTGTTTCTAGAGGGTACATTAACAGCTTTTGGTCACACTGATCATCTCACAAATATGTCCAAGGATGTGACCCTGGGGAATACAAGAATTTTTTTTTTAATTTATTCAATTCAATTAGGGATCTGCTGCTGCATTGGGGCCTTGGAGAATAACAGTGTCACCTTCTTCACATTCAGAAATTGGGAGAAGAAAAGCCCCTGTTACACTGAGATTAGCCCCTCAAGTGCTGCTGTTCAGGCAGAGCCAGCCTCAGAGGAGCAGCAGAGTCTCTGAGGAGAGTGAGGAGAAGCASACTGTGTCCCTGGAGGGGTGATGTGGGCCAGAGTGGGCGGCAGCAGGAGGGGTGCTGTCATGAGAGCTTCACAGCAAGAGCCTTGGGGGCTGATGCCCCAGGGAGGCTGCACCTGAGGTGGAGAAGGGCATTAACCAGGGATCAGCCTGGAGCCTGTGGGCAGCTGCAGTGTCAGACCTGGTGGCAGCAGGAGTCTGCACAGCAGCATCTCATCTGGGCTGTGCCTTCTTAGACTAATCTGGGATCTGTGGTGTGCGTTTTTTGTTTTGTTTTGTTTTTTCTTTTGTTTTCTGTAGACATGAGTATATCAGTGGATACTACAGTGAAAAATCTTACTTCTTTGGAAAACTGTTATCTGATTTAATACCCAGGAGGATTTGTCCAAGTTTTATATTTACTTTTATACTATCCTTGATGTTAGGTAAGTAACAAGGCAAAAACAATGTGCCTTAATCTTGGATATRAGGTGATGCTAATTTCTAATTTCTCTTTCTCCAAACTACAAAACAAGCCAAAAGCTGGGGAAGTACTGTACCCTGTTGAATATAGCTGCTAAATGTGGGCATTGTTTTTTCAGACTTTTCCTGTCAAACGTGTGTGTATATATTTTCCTGGGGCTTGAACCCAGGATATAAATGTGCTGGCCAAGTACTCTGACACTCCACTACCTCACAAGCTATCATTTTGGTTTATTTTAATTTGAGACCTATTAGTTTTGCTTAGTTGTCCAAGCTAGCTTTGAACTTGCAAGCCTCTTGCCTTAGTCTCTGGAGTAGCTGTGTTTTCAGGTATGTGCCCCTGAAACTGACCCAACCAAATGTTAATACTGTTTATAAAACTACATGGTATTGAGAAATGTTGTGTGTCATACACAAATATGGAAGGAATTATAAAACTATATGAAACTATGCTGGAGGAACTGGGATATTTATTGCCTGTCCATCTACATATCTTCCCTTGGTATCTCTCCATTTATCTCTATATAGAGATAAAATACAGATAGTAATATCTAAAGAGATATATTGAGAGGGATAAATAATCTACATACACACATTATTCTCTCCCTCTTCCCCTCTTTATTGAGAGAATGGTGGCTTTTGAGGTTATTGATTTAATTAAAATACTTGCTTGGTGAGTATAGACACATGTGTTTGTGCATCATGTTCAGGTTCCCCCCTAGTTTCATTGCATGAGAATTTCCATATCTCTCTCTCTCACACACACATAAACACACCAGAAATATCTATTTTTGAAACATACTTCAAAGTAAGAACCACTAATAGAGACTAATTAAACCTTTCCTTTTACAAATAAGAGGTGTCATAAACAATTAGTCATGGAATCTAGATCCCCAGACTCCTGATTTTTGTTCTTGCAGCTGTTCAAAAATCTTCAGACTGTATGATCCAGATCATATTAAGAAACACAACTTAGCCCCATTCTCTATGACCATGCCATAGGTGGTTTGTCTAGAGGGTCTTAGGTTGCTGAGATATCTCCCTTCCCCGAGGTATTAAAACTACTGTGACATTGTGCAACCCAGTCCCAGTTTCTTCATTAATGCAGTTGCAGCAAATAATGCACCAGGGGACATGAATCTGCTTTGAGAAATTTCCTCAGATAGTAGAATTTTGGCCATTTTTGTTGTCTATATCTCTCCATCTCAGCAACTCAGAAATCGTTCCCAATTACACATAGTTGTTACATGGAAAAGTTATTTGCAATAAGTGTAATGAAGAAAACTGTATGATAATTTTACATGATTTCATAGAGGGAAATAATAAAATTGTGACTCATGATAGTTGGATAGTGGGTAACTTCATTCTGATATTAGTTTAGCAGAATGTTATAGTGTTATTTGACAAATAAGTTAAAATACTAGGTGACCTAGGCCACTGGACTGACCCTTTCTTTTCCTTCTAAGGATGGAAACTAGGAGCTTTCTTCAGGACGATGTTTATTGTTTTGCTGGTGGCTTATACCACCAGTTCCATGGCACTAATTCTAGGAGCAGGCGAGAAGGCAGATAGAAAGATACTTCTTGTGATTGTCTATTTTATGTTTATGCTGGTAAGTGTGAACTGTGCTTCTCTGAGAAGGAATTTTTCTCCTGTTCCTTCTTGCTCCTTCAACTTTACTGTAAAACCTGCTTTGAGGATTTTGTACATGAGGCTTAGATGCTCCTAGGATGCCAGATTTCTTCTTACTCTTTTAGTGAAGTTACTATAACTTTTAATCATATCCTCACTAATGAGCTTTTAAAAATACTTTTTGGTGATATATTATGAACCCTTGATAAATTGGAAACCAGAGTTGTGATTGGCTGATTCCCTCATAAAAACAGTTCTCTGCCTTCCTTTTATGCTAGTGTTAGAAAACTGACAGCTGTTCAACCAGCAGAGATGGTTTGGTTGGATTCACTTCTCTCCAAGTTCAAAGTGAAGATCCTTGAGAAATTTAATAGTGTGCAACATGGGGAGGCTAACTTGAGTGCCACTTACATTTTCAAAAGGAGGATTTTGAAAATCGTGGAAAATTCTCATACCTAGAGTACAAGATCACTTACTTTTTGGCTTTCTGAGGAACTCTTTATATCAATATACTTTTGCTTTTAATGGTTACTTAGTTCTAATCTTATATGCCCCTAAAATCTATACTCACAATGATGAATCAACAGATGAATGGAACTAGTTACCACATTTCCCCACTATGATATCAATTAAACTGGAGATCTTARACTATTAATACACACATTTTTTCTGCTACAGTAGGAGAGATGTCAGTCAATGATAGGTAGTTAGCATAAGCTCTTGGCAAAGTATAATTCTTCCATTTCTGAAATTGGCAACTACCAATGTATATCGTTGAGAAAACAGTAAATGCTATTTATAGTTCCTATGCTGTCATCCAATAAATAAAATGTCTTTCAATAAATAAAGATGGTTTGTTTGATTTATTTGATGTTTTATAGATTATTAGGCAAAGGTCCCTATATGGAACTTTAAAACCAGTCAAAAAACCACATTTCATTGAGTGATGTTGTGTTATATGCTAAGCACTTGGTTAGGTCAAGTCTAAGTATATGCAGATACACCACAACCTTGTCCTTGTTCTGCATATCCCAGTGCACCTCACACCCATTAGGACAAGTGTTATATAAACCTTATACTTGTCTTTTGGGTGTCTTCCACCGTCCTTCTTGTCATCTCCATTGAGATACTGTTTTCTAATAAATTTAATTGGATTAATGACATTTTCTGTATCATTAATTTTCTGTGTCATAATGTGATCATCACATTATGCTCTTTATCTGTTCTTTGAGTTACTTTAAACCTGAATTCAAAACTTCATTTTACTCCTAAAGTCGTAAAGGGTACAAACCCCTGTAAATAATAAATTTCAATAAATGGAAGTAGAGAGGGGTGTGTGATGCTCAGGGTTGTTCTGGTACATTTTCCTAGATTTCTAGGTTCATTAGGGGAACAGAGAGTGGAGATATAATTCAATTAGTCAGTATAGTTGGCCCTTCTAGCCCACTAATCTTCATTGAGAGATTCAACCAACTTGAAATAGAGACTTTTCGAAACAAAAATTATGTCTCTATTATATATGTACATTTTTCCTTTTTTGTTATATTTTCCAAGTTTCATGTAGTATTAGGCATCAAAAATATATTAAAATGATTAAAAATATACAAGGTGTGCATATTTAAATCATGAAGAATATTCAGCATTACACATGAATGCCATAGTGTTTTAAAAATATGTGACATGAGCATCTGTATATTTTTGAGGCTGTGAGTCGGGGTGGAGTGGTCCTGTAACCAATCCCTGATTGATACTAAGGGGTTGACTAAACTTCCTAATCTTCAATTGTATGCAGTTATAGAGAAAGTTGAGAATATCTTCTTGATAATTAAGGATCCTCCAAATAAGTGRAATACATAATATAGATTGTAGTTATATTGTTCTTCCTTTAATATCAAAAGCTGTTGTAGCTATGCAGAGGTACACATAAAGGATTAAGATTAGTGTTTAGAAGTAAGTGGAAGAAATCTCAACAACGAATTGATCCTTGCAGAATGTTTAGAAGGTTGTAGGGTTCTAGGAAAGGGTCTTGTCAAGCATTCCTCCTGAAAATGCTGAACCAGTTCTGACTCTTGGGGTTTGCTTTTTGTAGGTTTTCTTGGGTATATCGCTGAATTTTGAAAGCACAAAACTTTGGCTCTCCTGGCTTCAGTACTTCAGTATTCCTTATTATGGCTATATGGTAAGTTGTCTTCATCTGTTATTGTGGGGAATAGCTTGGGAAAGCTGGCAACAACAAAAATAAAGCCTAATCATTTCATTTCCTCAGCCATGAGCTGTGAATCTCTCCCATCCCAGAACTGTCTTTCAGGAGCAATACATGAGTATTTCTTGTTAGCCTTGGCTAACACAAGATAAGGGAGTTTTCTGGGATTTCACAGTTACACTATTGTTGGCAGAAGATGAAGTTGGAGAGAAAGGTTGAAGGAGAAAGATTGTCTCATTCACAAAAAAAAAAAACATTATGTTTTAGTTCAATAAGGAAATAAATGAAGGATGGGAGACTAGAAGACATAGCTTGCATTGTAAGGGAAATTAGAAAAGAAATAAAGACCATAGAATACTCAGAGCCACACTGGTTTTAGCAAGTTAGTCAGATTCAAAGAAAGTTATCTGTGGTGTTACACAGTGTAACCAAGTTTCTAACTCCCAGAATTATAAATGGTCTTGATAAAAAACAAGCAAGAAAAGATCATTACCATATCTAAACAATGTTCATTGAGCACCACTGTATTATTCCAATTATAATGTTTATGGGATTATAAAATTGGAAGAAAAGAAAGAATGAAGTACGACATAATAGAACCAGAGGTCTCCCTTTATCTCAATGTTAAGCTTATCAATTGCCATGGAAAATTTAGTTGCCTTGATGTGACAAAATTTTGATAGTGAAACTTGGTGGGTTTTTTTTGTTAGAAGCAATAATAAAGACTGAACTTGAGGACATAAATGTGACAATTCTTTGGTCACTGGGTTTTTGTTTTGTTTTCTTTTCAGTAGTAAGGATTGAACTCACACCTCACCTATGCTAGGCAAGCACTTTACCACTGAGTTTCCCAGTATTTATTTTTTTATTTTTTATTGTGAAACAGGGTTTAACTGAGTTGATTTGCCCAGTTTGGCCTTGAACTTGCCATCATCCTGCATGAGCCCTTCCACTATCTGAGATTCCAGGTGTGCATCTCTGCACCTTGCTTTTGGAAACATTTGGAAATTTAGAACTGTTTACCTTTCCTTGTTCTCCTTATGCTATAGGCTTTGCTGCATAATGAATTTTTGGGACGAAACTTCTGTCCAGGAGTTAGTACAACAGAAAGCCGTGGCTGTGCCAGCTATGTGATGTAAGTTTCCCTTCAATGTCATAATCAGCTTTCTTAACACTGCCACGAGATGAAGAAAGTCCCCTGGGCTTAAAGCTGGTATGAGACCTTTCAGGGTCAACAAACCTTTCTGACCCTGTTTTCTCACCCATAAATTGAATCATTGTGCACTAGTACATGTGCACAAGTTGTACTTGTATTCTACTATTTAATGTGAAGAAATGTTCATTTTGGAACTTTTGAAGGATTGTTTTGATGTTTTGATTGTGGGGTGAATTCTCATTTCTTCAGAACATTTGAGTTTGAAATTGGCTGTTTCATGTTTAACAAGGGTTCATATTCTCTGAGCTGAATGGGTTATATGGAGCCTGAGACCTCAGCACGTGCACAACAGGAAGAGCTAAGTGGGGGATAGGAGCATAAATGGAGTGAACATTGGCCCAAAGAGGCTGGTCCTTTCCTCTGCTTGTGCACGTGGGAGACATCATRAAATCACAGGCTGTACACTTGTATATATGTGTGTCTGTGAGTTGTATGCATGTAAACTGGAATACCCCCTATCAAAGGATGTATACTCTCTTAAAGAAGGAAGAACACATTTCAGCAATTGAGAAGGAAGTCCCATTTTTGCATAATGTCATCAAAATAGAAATGCATGTTATAACAAAATCAGAGGATATTGGTTTAAAATTTTAGAAATACTTTCCTTTTCTAGGATGTCAATTATTTCATTTTGTTCCAGAAATAAATAAGGGAAAATTTGCATACCAAGGCTGGTATGCAAAATCTGTCCTGGATTTTTCAAATAGTATAGAAATAATTCTTGGTAGTTACACAAATTTTTATTTTGAATGACTGACAGGGAAACTTCTGTGGAAAGGGGTTTTCTTTACCCTGCCCACTCTCTTTTGTGGGATCTGGTTGTGGCATCTTTGTAACACAAATTCAGTGCCACACTGCTGATGAGTAGATGGGAAAAGTGGGACAGACAAGGAGAAGCCACCACAGACTTCATGACCATTAAGGCTCATGTTCACAAGATGAAGGAGGATCTTCCCTTACAACAAAGAGAAGCTAGGGATGTTTTTTAAACTGCTAAATTCCAGAAGATGCCTAAGAATGGCAACAGGCAACAACTGCAGCTGAACCTGGTGTTTTAGTGTCAGCTGCTTTTCTAACCTGTGCCAGGATCACTCCATCCTGCTGTGCTCTAATTACGATTGAAGTCTGATTCCTGGCCTTGCTGGGGATGTCCCATTGCTGAGTATCTGTGATGTTCATTACAGTCTTTGTGCCAGAGCTGCCAGACATGGCTCTTGTAGAGCTCCCCTCTAGTCCTAGTTTTTGAATTCTTAACCTGTATTTTTTGCATGGCTGTCTTGTGGGTGAGCAGAAGTTCAAGGATCTTTACTTAGCTTGGTAAGGTGCACAGTTATCATCAGGTAAAGCTGAGGGTTCTCCATTGGGAGTAAGTAAAAAGTTACATGATCAATATTTCCCTTGAAGAGAGTAGCATTATGGATTTGGAAATGAATGTGTTTGAGAAGGCTAGAAATTTGGTTCCCATTGTGAATCTGTAAAATTGGCCAAGTTAGTTAAGCCTAATTCCACCCCTCTTTTAAATGTGTTTAATATGTATATACTGCTGGATTATGTAGGATTTAACTAAGCTCTTAGGTACAAGTTGCTCAGCATAGTATCCAGCCAAATTGTAAGCACACAACAACTGTTAGCTATTATATGTGAAGGGGTAACTCCTCATAATTTGATTAACCTATAGGTTTCTCTAAGAAGTCATAGTGAAGTTTGGTAGGAATATAGTTATTTTTGTGTGTGTGTTTGTTAAATTTCAGATGTACAGGAGAAGAATTCTTGACACTCCAGAGCATCGATCTCTCTTGGGGCTTGTGGAAGAATCTTCTGGGTTTGGCTGTTATGCTAATTTGCTTCCTCACAATTACCTACCTAAAATTGATATTTCTTAAAAAAAAACATTCTTAAATCTCCCTTTATTTGCTATATATTACTCTCACATTAAAAGGAGCATCTTGACTTAATCATCCAATAAAGTATTTTTTGTTTGTTTTGTGTGTCTTTGTGTATGTGTGTGTGTGTGTGTGTGTTTATGTGTGTGTGTGGTCTTGTGTTCAGTTGCCTTCACAATTTCATTTGGTAACAATTATTTTTAATAGAAAATATCAAAAAAATCATACATAAATGAACTCAAGCCCCAAACTACTGACACTATGCATTATATACTAGTTTATCTGGTGAGTTAATAACCACAGAAAAGGAATCCAGTCCATTTAATTTACGTAAAAAAGGAGAACTGCAGCCAAGTGCTCTGGCACATGTCTGTAATCCCAGTGGTCTAGGAGGCTGAGGCAGTAGGATCACAAGTTCAAAGCCAGCCTCAGCAACTTAGAGAGGCCCTAAGCAACTTAATGAGACCCTGTCTCAAAATTTAAAAAAAATAAATAAAAAGGGCTGGGGATGTAGTTCAGTGGTTAAGTGCCCCTGGGTTCAATCCCCAGTACAAAAAAAAGGAAAAAAGAAGAATTGAAACAGGTGGCAAGCTACTAATACCCCTGGTACCAGTTTTCTCATATTCAAAATGAACAGGTAGGTTAGTAGTTTTAATAGTCTATAAGTCTATGATCTGCTATTGTGTCATAAATACCATTCATGAATGCAGTCTTAGAAGCATGAAATATAAAATATGTTGAAAAGTCAGTGCTATTTCTAAGGTAAAAAAAAAAATCCATACTGGTAGAAAATCATGTCTTCGATGAGTGAATTAAGTTTGGTGATACTTACTGAGCTCAGGAGTCCACAAGTGGCCAGGGGTCTGGGAATGTGGCTTTTATGGCATTACTGGGACATTCTGCTCTGAAGTCACTTCACTTCCCTGGATGTCTCCGTGGTATATAATCTGGTTACATCCTGAAGAGCTTTGCTAAGACCCAGATGTCTGGCCCTGCCTGTCCCCTGCAGCAGTACCAACAGAGTTGTCCCCAGGAAGAACTCACCAGGGCTGGGTTTGGCCATTTCCAAGGTCCTTCTCAGCTCTGAAAATGTGACACTTATGCTTTATTAACTGTCACATCTGTCCCTGCATAGGATCCCCCACCTACCTCTAGACCCCATCTGTTTCCATATACTCTCTTCACTCGAATCTTCATCAGTAACAGGGGAATGTTTACCAGTAAAATGGAAGTATGTTAAAACCTGTCTTATACTGAAGGATAACTAAACAAAAAATAGAGTTCAGTCAACTACCATACAATGAAGATACATGTGCCACCCCCAGTCCAGGTCAAGAAGTAGAACGCCACCAGCACGTGGGAGCCCCACATGCCCCTCTCCCAGTTGCTACTTCTTCCTAGGCTTCTTTTTGAGATTTCACTGTGTATTCCTCTCTGCTGGTGTTATCAGAACATCACTGGACTTCAGGTGGGAGTCCTAGTGTGCAGTTACATACTTAAGTCTCCCTCCCACTTCTTAATAAACTCTTAACCTTTAAATAATTTCAGATTTATAGAAAAACTGCATGGATATGGTGGAAGTTCCCATGTGCACTTTGTCCAGATTCCCATAGAGTTAATGTTTTATATACCAAGCTACGTTGTTCCAAGCCAAGAAATTAACACTGGAACATTAATTAACATTGGGACACTCTCTTCAGATCTCACCACTTTCCAGCTAATGTTCTTTTATTGTTCTGGGATCAAATTCCGGGGTGCACATTGCATCTAGCTCCCTTTGTAAAAGCAAATACTTTCAGGAATTAAGAGAGCTGGTGGATCATTGGAGAACAGCCCCATGCGACTGTGGTTGCCTTGGAATATCACATAGCCAGTCTGTGGGTACCCTGCTACATCATATTGCTACATCAGTCTGGAGACATAGCTTTATATTTTTATCTTTGAACTTAACATAGTCAGATTTTTCACTGCCATGACTAAAGGACCTGACCAGCATAATTGTAGAGGAGAAAAGGTTTATTCAGGGTCCATGGTTTCAGAGGTCTTAGTCCATAGAAGGCTGGTTCCATTCCTCTGGGCTTGAGGTTCACCAGAAAATCATGGCGGGAGAGTGTGGCAGAGATCACACCATGATCAGGAAGCAGAGAGGAAAGTCTCCACTTGCCAGATACAAATATATACCCAAAGCCATGCCCCATCCCCAACTCCACCAGCCACCCCCTACCACTTCAGTTACCACTTCAGTTACCACTGTTAATTGATATCAGGGGATTAATTCATTGATTGGGTTAAGACTCTCAGAACCTAATCATTTCTCCTCTGAACCTTCTTGCATTGTCTCACACATAAGTTTTTTGGGGACACCTCACATTCAAACCATAATAGAACTTTAAGGAACATTTTGTTTCTTATGATACAAATGATAATATTGTATCTGTTTTTTTCTGGTTATTATATGAACATAAATCTCAATTAACTATTCCTGGTTTTGGTATCAGCCTTTTCACTAGTAATCATACCTCCCTCATAGTTCCCTATATTCATAGTTCCTCAGTCCACAAAGAGAAACACATTTCTATACTTATTCACAAAATATAGCTACCAGAACAACCAAAAATTATTTATACTTTTAAAACTAATAAGAATTCAAATATATCCTGTTATATTTATCCTCTTTTTATTATAGTCAACATTTTATGTAATTTTTATTGTGGAAAGAAAAATCATAACAAAAATTAATTATCTACTTCATTTTTAAMATAAGGAATATTTTTTAAATGTGATTTATTTTTCATAAGGTAAAAAACAAAATTGAAAGCATTCCCTCTAAAAACTGGAACAAGACAAAGATGCCCTTTTTCATCACTTTTATTTAACATAGTTTTTGAAACACCGGCCAGAGCAATTAAGTAGATGAAAGAAATAAAAGTGATACAGATAGGAAAAGAGGAACTCATATTAGCACTATTTGCCAATGATATAATTCTATACCTAGAAGACCAAAAAATTCCATGAGAAAATTTCTAGAACTAATGTATGAATTCAGCAAAGTAGCAGTATACAAAATCAACACCCATAAATCAAAGACATTTCTGTATATCAGTGACAAATCCTCTGAAAGGGAAAAGAGAAAAAGTACTCCCCCCCCCAAAAAAAAAAAAAATACTTGGGACTCAACCTAAGGAAAGAGGTGAGAGTCCTCTACAATGAAAACTACAGAACACTAAAGAAAGAAATTAAAGAAGACCTTAGAAGTTGAAAAGATCTCCTTTTTTCTCAGATAGGCAGAATTAATATTGTCAAAATGACCATACTATCAAAAGCACTATACATATTTAATGCAATTCCAATAAAAATTCCAGTGACATTACTCATATAATAGGGAAAGCAGTAATGAAGTTCATCTAGAAAAATAAAAGACCCAGAATAGCTAAAGCAATTCTTAGCAAAAGAGTGAAGCAGGTGGCATCACTATACCAAACCTTAAACTATATTACAGAGCAATAGTAAAAAAAATGACCTGGTATTGGCACTAAAATAGACTTGTAGACAATGGTGCAGAATAGAGGACAGAGACTAGCCCACATAACTATAGCTATCCTATATTAGACAAAGGTGCCAAAAATATACATTGGAGAAAAGATAGCCTCTTCAACAAATGGTGCTGGGAATACTGGAAATCCATATGCAACAAAATGAAATTAAACCCCTATCTCTCACCATGCACAAAACTCAACTCAAAGTGGATCAAGGACCTAGGAATTAAACCAGAGATGCTGCTCCTAATAGAAGAAAAAGTAGGCCCAAATCTTCATCATGTCAGATTCCTTAATAAGACTCCTATAGCACAAGAATTAAAGTCAAGAATAAATAAATGGGATGGATTCACTCTAAAAAGCTTCTTCTCAGCAAAAGAAACAATCAGTGAGGTGAATAGAGAGCCTACACCTTGGGAGCAAATTTTTACCACTTGCACATTTTTACCACTTTATAATCTCTAGGATATATAAAGAACTCAAAAAGCTAAACACCAAAATCATCATCATCATCATCATCATCATCACCATCATTATCATCCTATCAATAAATGGGACAAGGACCTGAAGGGACACTTCTCAGAAGATGATATACAATTAATCAACAAATATATGAAAAAAAATGTTCTCTAGCAAGTAGAGAAATGCAAATCAAAACTACTCTAAGATTTTATCTCACTCCAGTCAGAATGGCAGCTATTATGCATACAAACAACAATAAGTGTTGGTGAGGATGTGGGGGAAAGGGCACACTTATACCTTGCTGGTGGGACTGTGAATTGGTGAAGCCAATATATGGAAAGCAGTATGGAGATTTCTTGAAAAACTGGGAATGGAACCACCATTTGACCCAGCTATCCCACTCCTTGGTAATGAAGATACACATTCCTCCTGATTCTGGGCAGTTTATTGTACAGCCTGCTCTGAAAATAGGCAAGGAAATCCTTGTCTACGACTGGCTAATGAGGATATAAAAGGTCCAAACAGATACCAAGGCAGAGGTGAAAAGTGAAGGCTAGTGGGATAAGGATATTTGGTAAAGGGAGTTAGGATTCTAGAATAGTATGGTTTGGCTTACCATACTATTCTAGTATGGTAATATCTGTCCATGTCTGTCTAAATTTACCACAATTCTGGGACCTTCTCAGTAAAAGCAATGAGTATTCTGACATTGACAGCCAAAAAGGATGAGAGGTACATGATTCATTGCCATGTCTTCTGGCTATTAAATCTTGACTCATCAATAAACCATACAGCAACTTAGATGATAAGTGCTATTTTAAATAAAGAAAAGAAAAATACAACTAGATACGTGGGATCCTATGTTTAATCTGGATGTCACGTTGGCAACAACTGAATATCATCAAACGAATTATGTGCACATGTATTTTCCACAAAATAGAAGGATATATTTTCATAATATCCATATTTTTGAGCTCAAATACAACTCCGCTTTAATTACAAGGTGGATTTCTCCAGTCGTTATGTATAACAACATTTGCATAAGACAATATCACAT